GACCATTCACAACACAGCAACAATAAAGGAACGTGCTATATCACAGCAATTGTATAAACTTACAGGATGTATAAAATGTATCAGATTGTTTACATATACTGTCAGGGAGGTTATTTAAATCCCAACTGCTTAAATGTCCCTGGGAAATTTCGTGGTATTCTATTGATTCAAAAATAACAAAGATGTACAACTGTTTGTCATACTCTTGAACTTGCTATAATGCTAAACCCTCCGCCAAAACAACCCTTACCGACATTCTCAATACCGGTGTAAATAGGAAACACTAAACCATTTCTTCAAATATTTACTAAATTTTATTAAAGTATTTAGTGTAATGGCATGGATACATTACAAGAGATGATTGTAATGCTTCAACAAAATGTGTTCTTAACCGATTGTAATGTCAGGTTTATGATCAATATTTATCCCCCCGGTCGCCTTGGTGAAAGTCAAGTGCGCTATCCACTGCGCCACCCGCCACCCGACCACCCTGGTTATGAAAGCGGTTGATTTTGACAAGTAGAAATGTTTCGTGAAACATTTTTGAAGCATTAAACATGAAAAATGTGATGCATTAAAAAAGTGCGGGAACCAGAAGCGTAATAATAAGCGCCATATTCTAATGACATCACGCTTGACAACAAAGCTGCGCGCCATTTTGAATGGGATAACTCAACGCAGTTCCGACGTTTTCTGCTATTTTCTGGTATCATTGCTTATAAAAATGTTATTAATTGCATATTTATGTAAACACTTAGGTGCGTGTACGAAAATTTACCATAACAACCACTTATTCTACCGTCGCTTCATTTGAATCTGAACAAATAACCATTGCATTTGAATGCAGCAAATAGAAGATACCGTTATGATTGGTCAATACCAAAATATCCCTTTTGATATTTGTCACATTGTGAAAGATATTAGTTTTATCAAGTTGATAACATCCGGTATTTCACTAGCAAAAATGTAATAAAGAAAAGTCAACTCTACATCACGAAGGTAGCATACGCTACAATACCGTGGACGTTTTAAATGGAGAATCCTCAGAATCAACTTAAATATGATAATTCACAGAGGAATTTTACAACTGTTTTAACATACCTCTCTTTATGTAATCATATAATCGATACAACTGATTTTTCTCTATGCTGGCATGAATGTCCAAAATTATGGCTGTGCAATACGCTTTTGTATATTCCTAATACTAATAATTATATACAACGTGTATATAGCGCCCTACATAATTTGTGAAATTACTCTAAAGCGCTTTACAACATATGGATAATAGTATTAGTTATTATTGTTAAATAAAAAGGCTTACAATCATCATTATACATTAATAAGAAGATGATTATCGTAATATGCATATACATGAATATATATAGGATGGTATGTACATGACGTCTGTGCAGAGAGCCTAATATGAAGACGAGAGGAGGTGAGTTTTGATGTCTTTCTTGAATTTGGCCAGGGTATTTGACTTTCTAATTGCAGTTAGCAATTTATACATATACAGCGATGTGTATTTTGTTTGTTTTGTGTAAAACATCCTCGCAACAGCAGATAAGGTCAGATGCAGACGGGTTGCTATGGAGACACGACTGAAAAGAAAGGTTTTCTTTTGTTTGCATGTTTTAACGTCTTATATGGAATTTACGAGAGAAGGGAAGAGAAGAAATGAGATATATTTATCACATAATGTACTGTGTTTGCCAGCAACGATACCCATGTCATATTTGTTTGGGGTAATAACCCATGTAAGTGACCTATCAGCCCTGTGATTGTTTGTAAGATTTAACTGTTTCAATTGTAACGTCACGCCTAGGACAAGTACATGACGTCACATACTTACCCACTGGAGTCGAAATGGCGGCATTTAACATTTCAAGGTTGCATGAAAATTGTCGTTTTACATGAATAAATGCTACAAATCTTGATTATGTGATAAACAAGATATTACACTCGTTTTCATTTCATATGCAATTGATGAAACTCGTCACGAATTTATAATTTTTAGCTCGCCAGAGGCTCGCTTCATTGAAAAAATCTGAAATTCGTTTTAATAATCTCAAACGAAATGGAAACTCATTTAAGATCCTATGCATATATGCCAAGTGTTCCGTTTAAGACAACACATTGTCTATGGCCTTTATAATGTCCCCAAGGGCTAGACCCGGATGACAATCCCAGATCATGAAGGGAGGGGTCTCATCTGTCGTATATTCCTATACCATGCAATGGGATACAACAGGTCTATTCCAACCCATTAGCACTGTCAGTGTGATACCTCAAGGAAAGCCTAGCGTCACCTTTATGTTTGTTTCTTAGGACATTGTTGTGATTTGTGAGACGGGACGGGAAGCGCCACAATGACATTGATCTTATTGCATTTTTGTCCTGCCATGTTTGTTGTTTGTAAAACCAGTAACAGCGAAAATCATTGTGACTTCCCGTCATAAAAAAACCTTTCGAAAACCAGACCACACATATAACACTATTTCTTTAAAAACAAAACACAAATAACTGCCTTAATATTAATTTTATACAATATCACAACGTGACAGAGAAAATTAACAGAATTCTTATTTCCAACAACCAAAAGTGATAATATTTCCTAACTTCCCTTTCCAGCAACCTAACAGAAACAGCATTTACCGAAATATATTCAGAGTGGTCATATCTTGTTCTGCACATGATATGTCCATATGACTTCGCACTGGAAAAAAAAGATATTTCGACATTTTATGGAAAATTTACATCAAAAACTACCGTGATCGTATTTACAAGACGACAATAATGACGGACTAGAAGATCATCCTATGACATCCTTTGACGCTAGGCATACTTTTCTCTACGTTTGAGGTTGATGTGTAACTTTAGCGAATGCAAGTAGCCTACCTGAAATCAGTACGTAGGTGTAGACCAGGTTCACAACGGTCCTGTGTATCAACTCCATCACACACTAACTTGTAGTCGGAACGACGGCGTTGGAGTCCAGTTGAGGTTTATAATCCAATGCCGAAAGAAACGTATACCTTGTCTTTCTTGCGTAGACCACAGACGTCACAATTCATACTCACATACAATCACTAAGTAGTCCAAAGTAAACCAAGATGTTACAGGAAGTATATTGTACTGTATAAGTGGTGCCCACGACTATGCTGCTGTTAGTACAGTCCCGTCCCTGACATCCTCTGCACTAAATATACTCCCACTTTATTGATTCACATTGTAATATGTTAATTTCACACTGTTACATGGTAAATATTTGCCTTCGTTCCGAGTATTATATTCAGTTTTCAGTAATTTGGGCCGTAGTCCTTGTGACTCTCTAGATAAGATCTGTTATTTCTAATAAATGATGTATTGTATTTAATTATCCTCGGGCTGTTAAACAACTAACTAACCTACTTATATTTAAAATACTATTACTGTGTGTATAGTTGGGTGGAGTGCTGAGGTCTTGATTCGAGTAAAATTACTTGCTTGCTACCCACGGTATGCTGTAAGACACAATTTACGTAAGAATTTCCCCCCCCCCCCCCCCCCTTTACAGAGAGATAAAAAAAATCTTTTGCACTCACTACAAAACTCGTGAACTTTAAATTTCTTCTTCCTTTTGTTTCCTAGCGCCTTGTCAAGCAATATCTCACGTTTGACGTTCGTGTAGAACGTTTGCTTAAAGTAACCATGCCTCAATTTGTCGGAAAAACTGAGGGTAACATTAAAGTAGTAACATTTCATAAATATCATCAATATGTAAGAATGAAAAGATTTTTTACTTCAATTACTAATTGTTTTTCCAGTATAAGCGTGCGAAGCTTTTCCCCAACTGCTCCATATCTCACCAAGCGCAGGATGGAAGCGGTATTCAAGTTTTAAGCGAATTTACGAGATGTCACGTAAGCAGAATACAACAATAACGAACATGTGTTCGACTCGGTCAAAGGCAATGTTTACACAATACACGTAATTTCATCTTAATTGATAAAGATCTATTGCGTAGGATGGTTTACAAAACGACTTTGTTATTCATTTATGAAGTGGTATTAATAACATATGATCGGTATTAATAACATATGATCGTAATAGCAGAAGAAGTGAGGACAAATATGACAAGAAATATCGTCATTTTGACTAGTTCCATCGGGGCATGTGTGACATATTTAAATCATCATGTTCTTAACGGCACATAAGAAAACAATTCTAAACTTTGAGTGTGGTATTAATGGAATTTCATTACTTTTTGTATGCACCAAAAATAACAAGCAATAGAGGGGAATATAATCCCACAGGCCTAAAGTAATATCACATTTTGATGGGTTATTAAATTCCTGAATTTAAACCTAAAATAGTCGGTATATTTCTTTCGTTATATAGATATTTGCATTTATACTATAACCAGGAGGCGCCATACAACATCTTGTTGCATTTGAAGATGTTGCATTTGAAGAATATATAAATAAATATACATTAGACGATGTCCAACTGTAATATTGCACACAAATCATTATTTGAACAAATTACATTTTTGTTCATAATTACAAAATTTGCTCGAAGCCTAGATGACCAGTGAACAAACTGTACATACTGGTACTGATGTTTGATATCAGGCCCCACTTGCACGAAACTTCTTAATTCTTAGTTCTCAATTCTCAATTCTCAGACTAAGTACGTGCTTAGCTGAGAAGTTCTCAAAATTGGCTTTCTCGAACGCGTTCTCAAATATTTGAGAACGTTCTCAAATATTTGAGAACGTTCTCAACTAAGAACGTTTTTCTCGTGAACTAAGCGGCCTCGCAGATAACTCTTCTGTGAAGGAGGACGTTAAATTAATAAAACTACGGGGAAACTGGTGTGATGATTTCGAGGTAAGTGCCATTATATACATTGTATGTATATGTTCAATTTTGTTTACAAGTGTAAATATTATACATGCGCATTGCATACATATTTATTGTTACCGTCTGCTCATCAACGTTGTTTGACTATCGTACAAAATGAAAAACACGAAAGATACGCTGCGTGTCCGGGGCGCAAACTGGACCGAGAGTGAGAAAAATATCCTCGTAGAGGAAGTTTTAAAAAGAGAACACATTATTTTCGGAAAGTTTGCGGGGTGTGGCTCCTCGGGGGATGTCACTGTTCGTGACAAGGAAGAATCATGGACATCCGTTCTCCAGGCAGTAAATTCGTAAGTAAAATTTGACTTTTTGTTTACAACACGAGTTCCGCTTGGCACATGTGTAATGCGGATAACAGATTGATATATGTGTCAAGTTGTGAGCATTTCGTTTATAGAATATGCGTTGTTTTGAAAAAAATGTATATTTATTATGATATCTGTAGACTCTGTTGAATACAACTAAGGCCTTTTTTTATTTGACGGATCACAATGGCACCGATAGTAATAATATAATTATTAATAAAGTAGTACTATTCAATAAAGTGAAAGTAGGATCGGTCATCCGTGATCCGCACGCTACTATTCACTAGGTGTTTTGGTCGGTTTTGACTTTGTTTCAACGAACATAGTACTGAAAAATTAAAAAAAGATAGTAATTTATAGTCAGTCAGTGTGGTTGGTCTAGCTACATTGTAAATGTAAAATCAAGTCCTCACTATAACACGAAACCTGTGCCAAGTACTATTTATAATATCATGCCAGAATTATAATATAAGGCAATTCTTATGTTACAACATGCATCAATGATAAATGAATATATATATGCAATCTTTTGACAAGTTGTCAAGAAAAGATGAGTTGCACAGTAATCATTTTAAATATAGTAGTTTTCATTTTTAAGTTATCCTAAATGAATGGTTCTTTAAGGGACAAAATGAAATAATGTTCCACTGTATAAATTTCAAAGAAAATCACAATGATGACATGCTGACTGAAATAAATTTGAGAGAAGTTTAGAATTGATTGATTTTTTTTTATTTAAAAAAAAAAGAGTTTTCTGTAGCTTTGTATTCTTTTGCAGTTCAGCCATTACAAAGAAAAGTGTGGAACAGTGTAGGAAACAGTTCCACAATATCAAGCAAAGAGGTAAAATACTGGACTTCCAAAACTGTTCAGTTGATTAATTAAATAATTTTGTTGAAATAATAAACATATATTTATAAAACAGTATTTGTATATGATTTCCTGTTTCTGAGTGCAAAATACAGTACTAGTATTTTATGAAAAAATAGATTGATTATGGAAAATGTCGGGGAAAATGATATGTGCAGGCAGGCAGGGTTTCTTCAAGTACTACAGCACCCTGCCCCATTTGCACAAAATCTCTTTCATTCTGAAATATGTAGGATGCTACTTATATTCTCATTAATCTTCAGTCAAGGAGAGGCATGATGATGCCCGCTACCCAAAAACAGGAGGTGGCCCACCCATGACTTCCCCATCTCCTTCCCAGAAACTTCTGTGGGAAGGGATGGGGAATAGGGCTGGAGTGAGGGGCATTACCCTACCCATTGATTCAGAAGGTACATACAATTGTATATGGTGATGTTTTACATTTATAAGATAAGCCATACACATTCATACATTTTGTAAATATAATGATTGATTTCATCCCATTTCAATATTATATAACTATGAATAAAAACTAATTGTACATGAGGCAGAGCTTACAATGAATTATGGCATTCAGATAGTGTTTTCTTAATACTTCCACAATCCAATTCATATTTTCAATAATACAAGATAAATTGTTACCATTAAGCAGAAAATATGATTTACCTATATATATATAAGTACCCGCCTACATCTGTCTTATCCACTTACTTGTCTGTCAGGCAATGAATGGCATGTATGAAGGTTCCTGACTACAAATTTAATGAAAGTTTGCTAAAAATATTCGAATTTCTGAAGCCAAATTGAAATTCAAACTCACAAGTTTAAATGATGACCAGGCAAATTTTAAGTAAATTTCGTAAATCTAATTTCTAACTTCTTAGCCCGATGCAACATGAAGCCTTCACTGCTTGATTTTACCAATGCATACAAACTCAAATTTTGTCTCAATCACATACATTTCTAGATATTGAAGACTTAGTTGACAACCAATACCAGCAGGATTTATTGTCAAGATCTCCATTACTTGCTGAGGCAGCTGGTCTTTCTGTGGTACCTGTTGTGGCTGCCTGCACTGTTTCCGGCCCTTGTGGTGCAACATCACACAAAGGTAATAAGTTAAATTGATAAACTAACTGATTGCTTTTAGCTCTGTCACACCATCAAGGTAGGAGAAGATTCTATTAGTCTTCAGGTGGTTGAAATGGGGGAATTCCCCTAGTCATAACAATTGTATGACATCATGTCAACAATGCATCAACATGTAAATCCTGCAATTAGCCTTTTGTGTTAACATTACATTATGTAAATGATACACAAATTGTGAACAGGATAACAGATTAAGAATCATTCACCCCGTTGAGGTGAGATTGGGAATCTCAACCCAGGGGGAAAGATTCTTGTGTTGCCAAACACTTGGCATAGTGTCGTGTTTAAATTGGTAACTTAAGAATCTTCCCCCTCGGATTAAGATTCCCCTTTCTCTTACCCTGGACAGGTGTATCCACACTTTTACTGGTGTGAGATATCCTTGTCTCACCCTAGGGTTGAGACGGGGGGATCATGTATATCCCAAATTCTGTTACAAATACAAATAAGACACATTTAGATGACATAGATTTCTCTTACATCTATACTTACACATATACTTGCATGAATACATACATTATCATACATACATAACATACATACATGCATACATACAACCCTATTTATGCAATGTTACTTCAAATAAATCTATGAAACCATATCATTCTAACAATACACAATATGTTAGATTTATTAACCTTTGCACAATATATATTTACATAAATCTTGGATCAATACAGTCTAAGGGAAGATAATCTACCCTCAGCATTACATTTAGCATTAACTTGAAATGATACTCCAAATACAAACTTCGCAATAATGTATAGATATATGTGTACCTGGCTATGGGCCAAATTCCTAGACTTTTCCTAAATGTTATCAATATGTATCTATACAGGTAAAGTGTGCTCCACACCACTTACACACACCTTTCAGATCACTCTAACTATAGGTGAATACACACACAATGACATATACATGGACAATANTCTCATCCCCTTTGGGGTGAGATAGGGGAATCTCAACCCTCGGGGAAATAGGGGAATCTCAACCCTCGGGGAAAGATGCTTAAGTTGCCAAACACTCGGCCCAAGAGCATCTTTCTTCTTTAAATTAGTTCTTAATAGCCGAAGGTTTGTTCAGTTGATTGACTTTGGTCTGCTTCAAATTTCAGATATGGAAAATCCTCCTCCAGCCAAGAGGGCCAAAAAAAGGACCAATAGCTGTCAGAACATAGAGGTTGAGGTTGAGCTGCTGCTGCTGGAGAAGGAGCGGGCAGAGGCAGAAAAACAGAAACTGGACTTGGAATGCAACCTTCTCAAAATTCAAATTAAAAATGAAAAAGAAAAACATGAAAAGGAAATGGCATGTCTGAGCTCCAAAAGGAAATTATTGGAAAAGAAATTTGAAATGTTGGAGAATCAGTCTCCTGACTGATGTTCTAAACTAAAATTTTAAAATCTCATTGACAGTATTTTCTTTTGTTTAGAAATAGTTTATAATATTTGAGCTCACCTTTAACGTTTTTGTTTCACATTTTGGAATCCAGACACTCCATTTCTTTTTCCTGAGCTTATGCCGTGTTGTCCGACAATAAATGACCTTGACCCATTTTTGAGGGGTCAAATATGTTGAAACAATATTTAGTCTTCTTTAATTTTGTTTCAAATTTAATCTAGGCTGATTATTACTTTAAATGACATAAATTCCATGTTGTTAAAGGATTAACTTGAATATATTTTTTATGTTATGGAGCTATGATACAAAAAATTGGAATGTACTGTAAATAAACCGCAAAGCGGTTTATGATGAGAGTACACTCTGTTTTTTTGTGTTATAGCTCCATAACATAAAAAAATATATTCAAGTTAATCCTTATAATTTAATTTACTTTCCACAATCCCTGTGGAAATCAACTTTTATTGATGGAATCTTTTCTCTTTGTTGTTCTCTTTGTTGTGACCATGTGAGCAAGAAATTTTTGTTTTACATTTAAAGCTTTTATGCTTATTTTCTTAAAACTTAATACCAAAAAAGAGATCCCCAGGATAAAAGGCAACTTTGATTCAGATATCTTTTGTAAATTTTAAAAGAATGTGCGGCAAATATGGTCCCTTACACCTGCCCCGTCTTGAACACCACAGTAATTTATATCAAAATTGCCCTCGTCACCTAAATTCTGGTTGTCATGGTCAATGATGTCACCCTGCTCAATACCAATGTTGTGAAGAACTACACAAGCAATAATAACTTGTGCTGCCCTATTTGGGCTGACCCTGAGGCCAGTATGGAGGCAAGAGAATCTTCGTTTGAGAATCCCATATGTTTGTTCAATTGTTACTCTTGTCCTACACAACGCGTTGTTGAAATTCTGTTGCTGCTGTGACAATGCATTATTATAAGGTGTCATGAGAAACTGCCTGGTTGGATAAGCACTGTCACTCAGGAGGAATCCTTCATATGTCCCTGCAGAAGATACATACATGTAATAACTAGTTGTATCATATGAATACTGTGTTATGCAGTGTCATAAAGCCATCACATAAATTATGTTTATGTAATGTGTGTAATATCACTTCGGAAATGACGTCACATCACTGTGAAGCGGACGCAATTTTCTTGTTTCAGAGGCGGACAAGTGCAAAATATTCCTTTCAGTTCAAAATTATACAGTTTACTTTGTATTATATGATAAAATTAGTCTGTCATTTGTTTCCCTTCATATTAGAATAATGATTCTCGTTGGGAACTTATGACAGATCCTCTATATTTTATAAAAAGTAAATCTGACGTATTTTAAACCAGAATACACATATACATTTCTACACCTGTTATATATTATACATATATACATTGGTACACCTGTTATATATTATATATGTACATTGGAACACTGTTATACATGTACATACGGACACCTGTAATATTCAAGGCACTTGATCTATGTATTAATGATATTCTCTATATCAGTGGGTTATCAAGGACTCGTCTTTATACAGTAATGGCTTAAAGTTAAGGCAAGTTTTCTTATTTTCAGGTATACATTTAATAATCAGCAAAATTCCAAGTATTCAACGCATTGATTCTTCAGAAACTGATAGACCTAATATGTCGTGTCCCTGTGAAACCACAACAGTACTAACCATACTGATTTATCAGAGGAAAACTTACCATTTTCAAATTTGTGACGGAGGTTGCTGTCACGAAACATTCGCGCATCATGGCAACTTCCAGGCCACTTTGCTACACAACTGGTTATTTTGAAACCAGCATCACATGTCATCTGAATAAAGAATATATGTGGTATCATTGAATATTCTGTGTGTTGAAAATTATGAACTAAATCCTGATTTAATGAATGGGTAGATCCCTCCACCCTGAAGAATGAATACAGGTATATGTGTCTTTGCACAATTTCAGTAATAACTGAATGCAATCTTCAATAATAAAAAAAAATGAATTTGCATATATTTCAGATAACATCTGCTAATCAACTGTGTCATTTAGACCTATGTGTTTCTAGCAAGATTCATTGAATTTGCCTTTGTACATTTGTAATTCATTTTGCCTATGAATGCCAACTGAAATCAGTTCAATACTTATATTTAGCATTTATGGTATCTGTTAATCATCAAACAAATTCAATTACATTATTTTAAAGTTAAAATAATTTATGTATCGGGAATGCTTGTTCAATGAATAGAACAGCCATCGCCCGGGAAGGGTCAATGGTATCCAATGTAACAAATATGACATCATAATAATGATGACGTCAACAATCGTTCCATGGCATTCATAGCCTTATATTGCAAATGTGATATATTACAAATACCTGGCAATTTAGAGAGTGGTATCCTTTTCTGTTGACATAGTCTTGTTCATCTTGACAGGGTGCCTGCAGTCTGACAAATGTGCCATCAACACAACCAGCAACATTTGGAAATCCTGAATTTTTTAACTTGTGTACGAGATTATAGGTTTTGACTATATTGTTTACAGTGAATAAAATATTAAATAATAGTTAAATTGATGGAACTTCTATAAGCTGTTAGTATCATGTGACATGGCAGAATGCTGTTCTATGTGCCTTCAGCATAGTATTTGTGAGATAGCAATATAAAATCTGCATCAGATCTGTGCTTTCAAAATGCAGCAAATACACCAACATACCTAACTAAATGTAAGTTTTCATCTTGACAGGACACTATTTTTTATATCTTTTCTCCAATAGCAACTGTAGGTTTCCTCACTCATGACTCATTGGAAAAACCTGCTAGGAGTTTTGTTTTAACAAATTTTATTATATATATATGATATATATATATATCGAGATTCTTCTAGAATCCGCCTGAAGAAGCCCTAGAAGGCAGAAAGGCCTAGCGGACGATCTGAAAATATTGTTTTTATTCTATTTTTTCCTTCGCAAGGACTTATTTATTTATTATCTACTATATATATATATATATATATATATTAACATATATAAATGGATAAGATAACAGGATAGGCATATATCAATCTTCTCCATGATGGTGTAAGTGTTGACATTAAATATATACATGTAATGAATAAGCTATTGATATTATTGTATAAACTCATACACTCAATCATACATTCATACAATTACCTACTTACTGACTCATGTCAATACTCATTCGCTATATGATAGTTAAAATATATAGGAGTAATATTTACAAAAGGGATTCTTCCATTATTCAATTTGGATTTGAATATATGTAATGATGGTGCTGAGATTGTATCAGAATCAAGAGAGTTCCATATTCTCATGACATTTAGAAAAAAACTATTGCCAAATAAATTAAATCTAAAGCGAGGAATATTAAAAAATCTGTGTTGCCTAAGCTTATGTTTGAGGTGGAACAGCATCATTAATATAAGGTTTAACAATGTCATGTAAATATTCCGGTGTCATATGATTTAGGATTTTCTAATTGTTCTAGAACATTGTCAATACACCTTTTGTGCACTATAATTTTGAAACGGTATTATAATGTGAAAGAAAGAAGAGAGAAATAATAGAACTTTGGATTGTCACGCATGGATTTAATTTATTTCAAACAAAAGTAATAGGTCCTATTGATTTTTCTTGACTCAAACATGCTCTTATATAAAATCGTGGTCAAATTATGGTTGTGAAAGAAAATATCAGTCATGGGGTTTCCAAACAGTATTTAGTACTACGAAGATGACTTGTTAACCTACTTTTTTTTAAGAACAACCAAAAGTCATGGTTTTTTTCATGTGTTAATTACATAGCTATGAAAATAACCTACATTGTGGTATAATATTTCATTAAAGCTAGTTCAATAAAATCATAACGGGTGTATCCTGCGTTGTATGAGGGTATGATCATGGGGGGGTGGATTGCGGACACGCAGAGTCCAATACAGTATTTAGGACTACGAATAGGTCGCCGCTAGGGGGCTCTATCAGTTATTTACAAAGTTTGTGTTTGCGTACCTGCAAGAGCGAAGAAGTCCTGCTTGACTCTTTTTAGTGCTTGTCCTGTTGGGAAAATAATGAAACGGTTGGAAAGGCGGCAAAGGGAAGACGCAACAGTCGTTACACACCTCGACACTGTTGCCTCCGATAACCCGAGTGTATCTCCAATACAAGTGTAAAAACTACCGGTTGCGAAAAACCGAAGAGAACACAGCAAAATGGTGAGAGGCGAAAGTGCCTGGCTTCTGTGTGTCGGTCTCTCCAGTGTGCATCGAATCAGTGACAATATGTACATAATGGTGCATGGACGAAATCGAAACCGTTCGAAGACATCGGCGTCTGGGAGTGTTTGAAGAGGGTTTTGTAATCTCCGAAAAACTGGAACGCGGTGCTGATTCTGATTTCGATTCCTTCTGCGACGCAGACGACGGAGAACTCGGTGAATGTCCGCCATATTTAAGAATGAGACTTAAGCATGCCAAGGACCGTTCTCAAATATTGGCCCATTCTCAGCTTAAAATCTAAGAATTGAGAATTAAGAAGTTTCGTGCAAGCGGGGCCAGGCCACAGTACTCGAGTTTTCGAAGTTTCCTTCAAGACTATTTCTCGTTAATAATTCTGTAAAACTCCAACAGATGATTGAATGTTTTGGGATTTTGGTATCTTTGTTGATCAGGAGTTTCACTAACTTTACATCACTGTCACTCTCAAACCGAGTCTACAATGAATTATTTGGTGTGGTTATATTTTGTTAAACTTCCTATTAACAGCTAAGGTCATTTAAGGACGTGCCTCCATGTGTGTTGTATATGCAATCATGTGTGTCCCTCTGCACAGCATCTCGCCCGGTCACATTATAATGACAATGGGTGAACCAGCTGTTACCATTACCCTCAATGCTGAACGTTAAGCAGGAAATACAATAATGTAACTACCACTTTAAGGAATGTGGTATGTCCCGGCCTCAAAACAGAACCCATTGCCTTCCTCACCTGGGCGAACGTCCAATAGTAAAGTCAAGAATGTGCTGTTACCAATCAAGGCGCTAGGAAATAAAAGGTAGTTATGATAAAAGGAAAATATACAGATCCCGAATATTGCAATGGGGGCAGTATATTCTTTGGTCATTTTTGTGGGCACAAAACAAATATCCGACTCTGCAGGGGGTCCCTTCCTTAGTCGCCTCGTACGATACAATGACGTTGCCTGCCTGAAATCTAGTGCTTGATTGGCCAAAAGTATATGAATAGCATCATGATGATGAGTGCTAACATCAGGACAGGAAACCGGAATGCGATGCACATCCCGTGCAGGTGATCAAGAATCACTGCAATTTGTCATTATCTCTGAACAAGATTTCAGCCAATCAAAAATAACTAAAATTGACAATCGTTTAAAAAAAAAAAAAATTCGGGTAATCAGAACAGCCTATTAACCCGTTGTCAATATAACTGGTCCAACTGTAATACTTTCGTTTGGTATGGAATTTTAATGAGGTACATATAACACTCTAAATCAGCTTACAATCCGAAATGTATAACTGATTCTCAATACGTGCTGCAGGAAGGAAACTTATAAAGGAAAATGTAATTAACACAAACGACTTCGGTTGAATATATTTCTTTGTTTTCACTCGTGGTAAGGCTCATTAAAATATCAAATTATTTACTCCAGTCAGGAAATATTATTACTACTCTTCAGAAAACCACTTTGTTTCTAAATTTCATTACGACCTGTTATTGATTTCCGTATCAACTGAACGTTTGACTTCATAAATCAAGTTTGGTGTGGTTCAACCTCTCGGGCATAGCTCTCAGGAGGGAGTCTCATTATCATCGAAACGCGCATGTCCTCCGACTACAGCAGGGTGGCTATCCATCGCGGGACCACCACGACCACCACCACGCCCACTCCGCGGGACCACCACGCCCACTCTGCGGATATATTAAACTTAATATGGATATTTCACACGGAATATTACCACATGGAGAGAGATTCTAATTTATTGACATAAAACTTAACAAAGATGCATCCGTTTTATCTTTATATATGCGATAGTCCTTTAATGTTGAGTTTATCATAAAAGACCATGTTATCATCATTGACCTGATTTCATTCATGTCTTCCTATTGTATTTTTCATACCATTGATACTAAACACATACTCCAAACATCAATTGGCTTGCTGGCGAAAACACGTCTAATGGAGTGTAAGAGATATTGATCTCAGATTATTTTTAGTTAGCTTTTCAGATCTCTAATAAACATACACCAGTACATGTTTATTTCTTTTTCAATTTCATGTCAAGAAATTCTTACAAGAATTTTATCTTGCGAGGTAAACATGTTTCGCTAGATATCGAAGATGATGCAGCATTAGTTCCAACCTGTTCAGTCCATTTATTGGCCTATGCATATGTATGTGTTTCTTAAGTGTTAAGTTAGTTATATTATTTACTGATTTAATATGGCCTTTAACCATCATTCGCACGTTATCCTCCATTATTCTATCCGGTCAAAAAGAAATTCTCTAAAAAAAACATACGAACGATCATGTGTTAAGACGAAGCCGCGCATAATCTAAGTAGTTTAGGGTTATGAGTCTGGAAGCGTGTGACTACTGTTAGGACTAAATTGTGAAGTCTGTCATATCGCGCCTCTAGTAAGTGTTGTATTGACTAGTCTACCGTAGCGCGACTACTGTCACAATAATAAATATTGTAAAGTATATGATATCCAGCCTGCAGTTAGTGTTATATTGACTTGTCTACTGTAGCGTGACTACTGTCAGAATAACATTGTGATATCTGCGATATCGAGCCTATTATGTTGCCTTGTCTACTGTAGCGTGACGACTGTGAGAATAACATTGTAAAGTCTACGATATCGAGCCTATTATGTTGACTTGTCTACCGTTTAGTGACGACTGTCATGATAACATTGTGAAGTCTACGATTTCGAGCCTACTGTTAGTATTATATTGACTAGTATACCGTAGTGTGACTACTGTCAGGATAACATTGTGATGTCTGCGATATCGAGCCTAAAGTTAGTATTATATTGCATTGTCTACCGTAGTGTCACTACTGTCAGGATAACATTGTGAAGTCTATGGTATCGAGCCTAAAGTTAATATTATATTGACCAGTCTACCGTAGTGTGACTACTGTCGGGATAACATTGTGAAGTCTATGGTATCGAGCCCACAGTTAGTTATATATAGCATTGTCTACCGTAGTGTGACAACTGTCAGGATAGCATTGTGAAGTCTGCGATATCGAGCCTAAAGTTAGTATTATATTGCATTGTCTACCGTAGTGTCACTACTGTCAGGATAACATTGTGATGTCTGCGATATCGAACCTAAAGTTAGTATTATATTGGCCAGTCTACCGTAATGTCACTTCTGTCAGGATAACATTGTGATATCTGCGATATCGAGACTAAAGTTAGTATTATATTGCATTGTCTACCGTAGTGTGACTACTGTCGGGAAAACATTGTGAAGTCTACGATATCGATCCCACAGTTAGTTTTATATATCATTGTCTACCGTAGTGTGACAACTGTCAGGATAACATTGTGATGTCTATGGTATCGATCCGAAAGTTAGTATTATATTGACCAGTCTACCGTAGTATGACAACTGTCAGAATAGCATTGTGAAGTCTACGATATCGATCCCACAGTAAGTTTTATATTACATTGTCTATCGTAGTGTCACTACTGTCAGGATAACAGTGTGAAGTCTATGTCATCGACCCTACATTTAGTATTATATTACATTGTCTACTGTAGTGTGACAACTGTCAGGATAACACTGTGAAGTCTGCGGTATCGAGCCCACAGTTAGTATTTCTATGACTAGTCTACCGTAGTGTAACCACTGTCTGGATAACATTGTGGTGTCCACGATATCGATAATTATATGGCGAATTATTCCGTATCATTTCACAAACAAATTGTATTTTTCTTTCTTTTTTTCTTTTTAGGCTTTTGAAAGCGGAAAATGTAAATATAACCTCGTCGATACAGGTGTTTTTTTTAAAGCAGTAGTTTATATCACTTTGTTTTATGTAGTATCACAAGGAAATACTTTGATTGCAAGCATCGTCAGAGAAAATGAAATAAAAAAAATACCGATAATTTACATATTTGTTTCCTTCAAACGGTGGCGTAAATCAGATACTGATCCTTTTTTTTTACTTAAAAGGAGCATCAGCACAAAACAAAACACAATTGCCAGGAAAACCACAACATTTTAAGAAATTGGTAGAGAAGACAAAAGAGAAAAGATGAAGATCCAAAGATATAGATCCCAATTGAATACCAAATCAATATCGATTTCTTCACTGTTCAATAAAAAGATGGTAGAAAAACCAATGATTATGCAGGGGACCTACTAAAGTCTACTCGTACGATAACATGTAGTGCGAACCGACACGTATATTGTTTACATGAACCTGCAGATGTTAGCACGATAGCTGATGTATACTCCCATCAGATGTTAGCACGATAGCTGATGTCTACTCCCATCATATGTTAGCACGATATATGATGTCTACTCCCATCAGATGTTAGCACGGTATCTGATGTCTGCTCCCATCATATGTTAGCACGATATCTGATGTCTGCTCCCATCATATGTTAGCACGATATCTGATGTCTACTCCCATCATATGTTAGCACGATATCTGATGTCTTCTCCCATCACTGCTACACCCCAACGCTTATCTTTAGGAACACGGGCGAAGACGTAATTTACATCAAAACGATTTAAATATACTGTATGAATTATAATATAGCTATTTATTGAAGATCTTTATCTTTAAGTGGAGAACATGAGACATGTAATTGAATATTTACACATTTAGTATACGCTGCCGAAATATCATTACAATTCTACCGACAATGATTTAACGTTCACTCGAACACTATGAATACTGTGATAGCTATCTACCGATCAATATCGCCTATTGTACATATTTCATGATCTAAATATCTCGTGATATTTTTAAATAAATATATATTAGGTAAAGCCTAACTGAAAACGTGTGCTGACAAACCTTTAACTTTAGTCAAAGCGACCATAGCTATGGCTGTTGATAGGACGTTTAACCAAATTAAATCAAATAATACTCTCAGACAATGAAAATTTTCCCCGGGAGAATAAGACAAACAAAACATCTCAATCTTAAGACGATAGTCTTTATTGTTTAGCCCTTGGCTGGCTTGAAGCAGAGCTTAAGACACACGAGAATCCCACCACGAGCGTTTAGATTTGTCTGGTACACCTGTACTAAATACTCTTTCTTCCACAACAACATGTTTGAAAACGGTGGTTGTCAGGGGACTGATGATCCACTTAACCGTGATTTACACTTGATCTGTCCTGTTGAAAGGTTATTGTAACGTCAGCTTCTCCTTTCCGAGTGACGTCATCGTATTGTTGCTA